TACGAAAGGTGCAAGAATTTGAAAAATATATATATATATTCATAACTTAAGCCGGTAAAAATGTTAAAGCGAATGGAAAATGCTATAGCGAAATGATTAATGTATTTTTCGTGACTGAATTGGAGGTTCTTGACGTGGAGCGCATTTAGTTCCCAAAAGCCGGCGCTACATGCCACTCAGCTAACGAAACAATGAACTTATAAAAGAGAAACTTTTAGTGAACGCGTCATCTCGAGTCGTGTGCTTGTAGTGTGGCCTCCAATCTCGACCGATAGAAAACCGCTATACAATTTTGAGCGGTTATGTAAATTCAATTGTCGATACTAATAAGTCGGAGACGATTGACGCCTTGGAAGGGAAGTTTAGTCTAAGTCGGCTTAGAATGGTAGATAGATTTTTTTTATGAAGAGCTTGTAGTTTTAAGACAAAAATACATACGGAAATCTTGACATACCCTGCCGAAAGGCGACCAAAATTAGAAAAATTAATTTTATAATTTGGATTTTGGTCAAACCAGTACTCGAACCCGAGCCTTCCGCATGGCATAACCCGATAGGAACCACTAGGCTATTCTTGAAAAATAAAGCGACTTTCAACCACGCTTTTGTATATATATTTATATATATTTATATGTGTATATTAACACTGACATTGAACGAAAATACTTGAAATCCTTTTGGTTTTTTTGCCGGATAACGGTATTTATGGAGTGTCTGCGCAATTGTTAGTTAAACTTATTATTACAATCTTTGAATGTCATTAACACAATCAATGTTGAAAGTCACAATATTTGTGGCAAGACACCTGCAGCAATACATAAATATATATGTATGTAAATATGTAAATGCACGCATTTGTGTCTTTTTTTTTTTGGGTCTGCACTTGACTGTGTAGTTTGTAGTACTTCATGCTCGCCATGGCACAGTTGTGGCAATATAACAATGGCTATAACATGTGTACTTACATACATATGTAGTATTTCAAAGGCAAAAATGCACAAAAGTTCATTTGTTTGTATTTACATACATCAGTGTACATATATATCCACACTGTGAAATATAAAGCCTTTGGCCAAGGTCATCACTCTGGTGGGCAGGCCACCACTGTGCGTATTAAAAGGTAGTTACCGCAAATTTCTGCTCAAACAAACCAAAAAAAAAAAATACAAAAAAGATAGGGATTTAAAACACACAACGCAAACCAAATGCAACAGCTCATATTGCAAATAAGTAAAGGGAATATTAAAAGAAAAAAAATTAAAAAAAATATATTAATAATACATAATAATTACAAATGCATGCTTAGACAACATGACAGGTATTTAAAAATTATTTATTGTAATGGAAATAAATTCTCATAATTATCATATTGATTTTAAGTTTTGCATTTCATTTTGACCTCAGACGTCGTCGCACATCTTCCCAGACAATTTTCAATAGTGATTATATATTTAATTTTTTTTTTTTTGTATTTTTAATCTCATTAACGCTAACCTCAATTGTTAGGAGTGCTCGCGTGCATTAATCTTCTGTGTATAAACGTTTTTGTTTATTTATTGTATATATACATTGTTAATACATATAGATATTTATTTATGATATTTATAATCATACATATCTCTACAAATATATACACGAATATTAACAGTGAATCAAATAATGGCATATTTATATACATTTTTAATAATGTACTCATTAAAGTTTTACAAAGCTCTTAAATAAAAGTTGTTGATATTTTTAAATTTTTTTTTAATATTTGCATAAATACATATACAAATATATATACATATATAAGTATATTTCCATTAAAAGTGCTAATAAATGCATGCAAGTTTTTTTAGTAAAAACCAAGTTGTATGTATGTGCATATATAATTTGATCATTTTAATCAGCCTAGCGACTACTAACCGAGGGTTTCAAGACCGTGGCATACCCATGTAGGAATCAAAGTAGATTTCTAGCTTACCGATATTCAGAGCTTACTTGGTGTATGGAGAGCACATATCTCTAGCCTGCTAAATGGCAGTGAAAATACCACAACCGGAACCCCAATTATTGATGATAGTAAAAACGTTAAATTACCTGTTGAGGAAGGCGTTCGAATAGCGATTGCGCACTCAAGGGGTTATATTCACATGTAATTAAAAAAAAAAAATTATTTGTTTTTTAATTTCTCCATATGTAAATATATTTTAGAATATTTTCCGAAAATCTGAAGTTGATCCGACTAACAGTCTCGGAGATATGATCGTATCATTAAGGACGTCTCGTGGCGTTCGAAAATAGGCGAAGCGCAAGGCAAAGTAGTTTAATTAAGTGTAAATGGTTCGCAAAACTGCAAATGCGCTCTTTTCGAAACGCTGTTTTCAGAGTCGGTGAGGAAAATTTCTCTGAAACGGTTAGGCCGTCGGATTAATATTTTCACACGATCTTCTAAGACGTATTTGTTAGGTAATGATCAAAGGAATCAATTTTTTTTATATAATTTGCAGTGCAGAATTTTTTACAAAAAATTATTAACCTTTTTTTTTTTTTGAAGCCGCAATTTTTTCGAAACTCAAAATTGTCACTATTCCTTCGCTCAAAACCTGTATTCATCCTTTATAACACCAAACTTATTTGGTTTTTGAGTTTCAGATCATTTGAAGCAAAAATATATTCATCACCGGCAGACACCTTTTTTGGAGGCCCTTTTGGAGATCGCCTACAGGAATAAGGGGATCCAATATTTTTTTTTTTTCAATGAATCGTTTATTGTTAAACTACATTAAAATTTTTTCATAAACATTTTTTTTATTAATACATAGAATAAAATGCCTAACAGCACAAAATTAGCAAAGAAAAATAAATTTTTTTGTTTTGCAAGAACAAATAAATCGCCGGGACTTAAAAAGTGCATGCATCAGCTACTTTACAGAATATGTCCGACGATTTGGAACCTAAATGTGCTCTGCCCAATCCATAAAAATGGTGAGTCCACAGTCTGCGTCAATGGGGTTAGCCTCCAAAACATCACCTATAAGTTTCTATCAAGGCTATTGTGTGATAGACTAAAGCTCACCATCAACAAACTGAATGAACCTTATCAGTGTCTCTTTTAAACTGGTAAATACACATATTGAGCAGATATTCAGCATGGGAAAAATTTCGGAGAGAACCCATGAGAAAAGAATGTATACACAAAACCTTTTCATCGATTTTAAAGCTGTATTTGACAGCACAGTGAGAAGCTGCTTCTACTCAGCTATGAGGGAATTTGGTATCCCTGTAAAGTTTATATGGCTATGTAAACTAGACATCACCAGAAGTGCATTCAAAATAGGGAAAGACCTCTCCGGGTCGTTCGATACCAAACGACGTTTGAGATAGGGTGACTATTTATCGAACGAGGGCAAGACGAAATATATTCTGTCACTGTTGGCAGTCATAACCTCGAGGTTTCAGATTATCTGGCCTCTTTAAAGCCACAACCAAACTCTACAAATCACTCATCATTCCCGTTCTATTATATGATGCAGAGGCGTAGAAGATGTTCACATCCCTTGAGGTGGCCCTGAGGGTCTTTGAAAGGAAAGCTCTGCGAACGATTTAAGGTTCTTTGCGCATTGGAAACGGCGAATACCACAGACGTAGGAATGATGAGCTGTACGAGCTATATGATGATATTGACATAGTTCAGTGAATGAAGAGACAACGGCTATGCGGGCTAGGTGATGTGTTCGGGATGGATAAGAACACTCAAGTTCTTAAAATTCTCGTTGCAATAACCGCCGGTGGAAGCAGAGGAATATCTCCACCTCTCTAGTGTAGAAGGACCTGGATGTACTTGGTTTTTCCAATTAGCGACAAATAGCGAAAGGAAAAATTGAATATCGAGCTGTTTTTAACTCGACCGTAATCACCGAAGAGGCGTCAAGCTTTTTCGACCATTTTTGAGTATTTGGAGCTCTAATATTTATGTACGAGTGTACTGAAAGAGAGTATAGCCAGCTGTAAATTTGAGCATCAGCTTTTTTAATTGACATTGATTTATAAAATATCCACTTGGACTATTTCTACAGTGTTAATTGTGAAATAAACATCGATTTGTAACACGATATAGCTGGGATAAAAATAGTTTAATGGCAAAAGTTGCCAAAGAACATTCTTCTGCAGCATCTGCACTAAGAACGGCGAGATGAGATCATTGACTCCATACGACCGCATCGACATTTATATGATTTCTTTGGTGAATACCAGTTGTAATAATAACAATAATAATAATAACAATAATAATTGTAGACATCTTCACAGGCTGATGCGCTCAGTGGTATTTAATGCATCTACATGTGCTTTAATATTTATTGTATTTAGTTACAACCGCCTACTTTCACATGCATATAAATATACTTGACAACATACAAATCTACCTTTGAAAAAAATGGTTAAAAATTGTAGTTACTCGTATAATAAAAATGGTCATTGCAATAATTGCTTTGCCGCTTTGACTGTGTCTTGTCGCCTGTCACATCTCCACGTCATTGGAGAACATTTTCAGACACCTTCGCTGCATTTATGACTGCGATTATTATTATTTTTAACACGCCATAAATTTTATTTTCGACTTTTATCCCTTACTGTTTTTATGAGCATGAATTTTGAATTAAAGAGCAGAAGAAACAGCTTTAAGTTGAATGAAATTCATAGTTGAATGGATTTCCGCACTTAATCCTTTCGTTTCATATAAAATACTTTTCTTCTGATTTTATATAAAAAGCACTGAAATAACCTTGATTTCGGTAAAGGCACATGATTTCAATTTCAATTTACGTTATATATGTATAAAGTGATATATATTAATATATATACTTTATATTTGTGACTAATTTTTTTATACATTAATTTTTTATTGTATTTTTTTTAATTTAAATTCATAATGACACATGTTAATTGCTTCAAAATTTCGTATTTTGCTTCAATCCTAAATAATATTTTCTGCTTTTTTTTTGCTTTTATTTACAGTTAACGAAAAGTATCAAAACAAGACAAAACAAAAATTTCACACTGCCATAAATTGCGAAAAATTTAAAATCAACTAATAAATACATTTTGAAAAAATGGGCGAACGTCGCGGTACAAAAGCTCTGGAGTTATGGTGCAGACGTATGACGGAGGGTTATCCGGGTGTCAAAATCGATAACATGACCACTTCATGGCGAGATGGCTTGGCATTTTGCGCTATGATACATCATTTCCGCCCAGATTTAATGTAAGTAGAACGTGAATTTTTATTATAAAGAGAAATATTCATTTGAATTGGACAGCAAATAAAATAAAATGAACCGAAATTAATACAAAATAAAGCATATTAAATTAAAATGCAATAGATTAAAAAAATTAAATCGAAAAAAAATTGAAAAATATAAATAAAATAAAACTACTTCAACGAACAACATAAATATAAATAAAATCAAAAAAATGTATTAAAATAAATACAAAATATGTTAACAAATTTAAATAATATTAAATAAATAACAAAATATAAAGTTTCTAAAATTGAAATAATTATTTTTTATTAAAATAAATTAAGCAATATTGAAAACATTTATATTAAATAAATTATCAAATAATATAAATTCAAGGAAAAGAAATTAAAATACCATAAACTAAAACAAATTGTATTGAAAAATAAAAATTAAAATAAAAAAAATTCCACATAAGGGAAAAAAATTTAAATAAACACAATAAGATGAATTTAAAATAAATAAATATAAAAATTATTATAAAATCAAAAAAAAATAATTTTCATTAAAATAAATTAAGTATTATAGAAAACAATTAAATTAAATAAATTATTAAACAAAAAAAAATAAAAGAAGTTAATGTCAAGAATTTAAATAATAATAAAATTAATAAATAAATACAAAAAAAATATTATAAAATTGAAATAATTATTTTTGAATAAAATAAATTAAGTAATGCAGGAACCAACTAAATGAAATTAATTATTAATATAAAGCAACATAAATTAAAATGCAACAAACTAAAACAAATTGTATTGAGAAAAAATTGAAACCACATAACCGAGAAAAATAAATATAAATAAGTTCAATAAAATAAATTCAAATAAATAAAATTTAATATATGTTATCAAATTTAAATAACAAAAAATAAATATAAAATACATTATAAAATTAAATAATTAATTTTAATTAAAATAAATTTATAATTATAGAAAAGAATTAAATTAAATAAATTATCAAATAAAAAATAAATAAAATAAAGCAAAATAAATTAATAAACAATAAACTAACGAAAATTATATTGAAAATGAAAAAATAAATAAAAATAAAAATAAAATAAACCGAAATAAATAAATATAAAAAAATAAATGGAAATAAATTTAATAAAATAAATTAAAATAAATATAATTAAATTATGTTATCAAATTTAAATAATCATAAATAAATAAATAATAATGGAGTTTATTATAAAATTAAAATAATTAAATTTGATTAAAATAAATTAAGAAATATAGAAAACAGTAAAATTAAATAAATTGTTAAACATAATGTAAACTAAATTAAATTAAATTAAAAAAATTTAATAAAAATTTAATATATTAGATTTATGAGAATTAATTAATTTGAAGTAAATTTGACAAAAAGAAATTGAATTTAATTAATTTCAAACGAAACATAAAAAATAAAAATAAATAATGTCATAATGTCATAACTTAATCAACTCAACTCTTCCTTCTGACCCGAACGGTATACATGTTGATCGATCAATCGTTTCTCCTTCTGGAACTTCGGACTGAAGTTAATAAACCATTTCATGTATGTACTTGAAAGGCATAATAAGACATAAATATTTCAACTAAATAAACTGAAATAAGTAAGTTAAAAAAAAAATAAATCATAAAATAAAATTAAAAAAATCCATTAAAAATACAGAAAAAAATGAACTTAATTTAAATTAAATTTAATAAAATAAGAAAAAGTCAAATAAAGTAAAGCAAAATAAAATAAGTTTAAAAAAAATGAATAAAAATGAAAAAAAAATAAAATATATAAAATAAAATAGGTTTAAATAAAATAAAATAAATATTATTAAAGCGAATAAAATAGACTAATCAGAGTAATATCAAATCAAATAACATAAAATAGAAAGAAATTAGACAAAAAATAAATCAAATAAAATAAAATCAAATAAAATAAATTCAAGAAAAATAAGAGAAAAGAAACGGAAATCGTTCGTGTTGAAAATAATAAAATAACAAAAAAAAGAATTAAAAGAAACAAAGTACAGTAAAATAGAAAAGTTTAAGTAAAATAATTAACATAAATTGAAATGAGATAAAACGAAATTAATTTAAAAAAAAGGAAAATAAAATTATATACAAGCATTAAAAATTAATAAAAAATAAACAAAATTAGCTAACATTAGAGAAAAACTATGAAATTAAAATCAAATATATAAAAAAATAACAAATTAAAATATATTAAACTCAATAAAATAAAATTTAAAAAAATAATAATTAAAACATATGTATTAAAAGAAAATTAAACAAACTGCAACAAAATAAAATAAAATGAAATAAAAAGAAAATTAAAGAAAATAACATTAAACATGTTAAAATAAATTAAAATAAAATATATTAAACTATAATAATATTTATTAAAATAAAATCATTTTGTATTAAGTAAAATATAAAACAAAAAATTAAAATATATTAAACTAATCGAAATAAAATAAAAGAAACAACAATAATAGTAAGTAAACCTTCAATACAATTATATATACTTAAAAATTTAACGAATAAATTTTTTCATTAGATGTTTTAATATCAACGTTTTATTTTTATTTATTAATCATGACAAATGTTAATGATGCGAACGAAATTCATTTTATAAGCAAAAAAACTAAACTCAAAACGACAAGATCTAATTTTCATACAATTAAATAAATTTCCATGAATTAAATTTTTATTAGTATAAGGGCTTTTAGTTTCCCCTTTCATAAAATTTTTTTTTTTTTGCTTTTTTTTGTGGTTGTAATTTAATAATCACAATAAGATTAGTCACTTTTATAATACGAAAGGGCAGAATAAGACTAAAAATTATTAATGGAATTAAAAAAAAATGAAACTTATTAATAAACATGGAAATATGTATATATGCATATACATAAATATTCAAACAACACATAATATGTATATTTCAATTATACCCAATAGGAAAATATCTACACACCGTCTAATTAAATATTGAATAAATCTCTGTAAAATCAAGAATTCCGCATGAACTGTTTATAAACAGCACCGAAATTGTTTATATTAAATAATATAATTATTTTAAATAAAAATTCCAAAATATATTGAAACTACCAAAATGAAAAATGAAAATTTCAAAAAATATATAAAAAAATATTTAACTCAAAAAGTAAGATTTTTAAATAAATGTGATAACGGTTTTTGAATAAAAAATTTATTTTTAATATAAACTTATATTAAACTGAAATAGTTTTAAATTTTTTGCGAGACTTGCAATATTTTAGTAATTTTAATTAATTAATTAATTTAATGAAATCTAATAAAAAAAAATTAAAAATTATAATATGTTATAATAATTATAAATTATATTTTATTGGAAATAAATAAAAAAAATATTAAAAATTCGTAAACTTAGAATTCTTAGTATCACCCCAAACCCAAAAAAAAAGAGTTGTTGTTCTTTCATACAATTATGACATACATACATACTCGTATCTGCCGAGAATTGAATTCTATGAGTATAAATGTGAATGTGTTCGAAAAGAATATATAAACCTACTTCCAGTAGTAATAAAATTTGTTTAAAAGGTCAAAGAACCTCTATGCCATACAAACAAACAAATGTATACATAAACACATATAGATTTGTAATCACGCAACAATCGAGTTGACAGCACGCAATGCATATAAAATTAGTAGTTAGAAAGGCTTTTGTAATAAAAACAACTACGCTTATATACAAATGTTTATGTGTATGCACTGATATATGTATGCATGTGCGTAGATGTTTTCAAATAAAATGATGGTGTTTTGTTTTTTATTCTTTTAGCTTTATATAAAGTTGACAAAAGCAGCTTTTAATAGCACCGAATAGAAGTTTTCGAATTTTAAGTTGTCTAATACCATCATTTATGTACACACACTCACACACACACACACACACGCACAAACAAACAGTTGGTAGACGAGTTGCCGGCAGCTATGCCAAACAATAATAATTATAATAACAACAGTGATACCGGTTTTTATGACAAATTTAGCTTAAAACGCCGCTTTGATAGCGGTATTTTCTGACTGTATAAAAAAAAAAAAAAACAAAAAAAGAGGGGGAAGGAAATAAAAATACAGTTTTGTTTAGATTTGTAGATGATCACCAAAAAAAAAAAAAGTTGTTAATGCAACACATGCACACATACATACATTTGCCTGTATATGAGTTAAAAGCCCGAGGTACAGCTCATTCGAAACACGTTTCTCTCTAGGTCACATACTGCATACAAGTATATTTTATTACCTTTTAAGCGGTGAAAAAGTGAAAACTTTTTTGCAGCTACAAATTAAGTAAATTCATATTGAAGCCTTAATTTGCTGAACAATACTATTTCAGCCCGACTTGAGGCTGTAAATTAAAAGTACGACTAAAAACCTAAAGGGAAAAACATTTCGAAAGAGACACGAAATTCATTGCTGCAACGATCGTACGTGCGACTCATAATACCCGCAGCTACAGAAAATCCCAGAAAATTATGAGATGCGTTTGTCCCCTTCAAAGTATTTCCCTTCAGATATAGCAAGTCTGTGCCAGCGTTTTTGTCTAAACCTCTATGCCTTGTGATATGCACTGAGTCGCAGTTTTCTTTATTACGTACTCATTATTAACTCTAAAATTTTTTGTGATGGAATCGACTTAATAATGGAATCGATAATCGATGAAAACAGCGAGCAAATCTTGGAGTTTTGATCGAGCTTTTTCTTTGAGATGATTGCCCTTTGGTATCGATATCATAACCATTAATCCATGATTCGTCAGCAAATATAACTCTCTTTTAGCAAATTGAAATCATTCTTTAAACAATCTCACTCGCAGCTCGTACGTTGATATTTTGGTCGAAATTCGATAATCCGTCGTCACTCGCCCAAAAAAATATTGCTTGACATATACGAACCGATGTACGGTAATCCAGTAAGTAAGTTCGCTGTTAATAGAATTATGC